TTTACATGCTTTCTTGTGGAGAAAGTTAAGGTCAGAGCACTGTGTGCAAATGTAGATCTACACTTGAACAGGTTAAGGAAGTCTGTAGCAAAGGTGGGACAGGGTAGCCAGAACAAACATACCAAGGTGTTTTGTTCTGGTGTAAAAAATAAGTGGGCACGTCAGATTTTAGATTGATTTTGTTAAAATTTGTGGTAGCAATTTGAGAATTTAATGGCTGTGTACAGTATACTGTAAATAAGGCAACAAGTTTTGGGGAAATTCTGAAGAGAAGTTAAAAAGGGTGGTGTAGGAGTTTGGGTGTAGCAGAAGGAAACTAAAAGTGAATACGTATAGAAAATAGCATGGTGATGAGAGTAACAAAGATAACGTTTACTTCTTTGTAAAGGTTACAATGTGTAATTACAATTTTTGTTTGCTAAGTACAAAGATAGCCACTATCATGCCAGGGCATTTTGGGCAGACTAATCCTAATACGTAGTAACTAATTAAAACTAGACAAGATAATAAGTACATAGTAACTATACTTGAAACTAGACAAGAAGTAATGGTTAACTGTAAAGTGGAGTAGGGTTTGGTAAAATATCTTGAAATTGCACACAAAATCTACATTACAAGTAATGGTTCAGGTGGTAATATTTTATGGATTGGCAGAATTAAAAGCCTAGAGGTCACACAAAACTAATTAGTAGGCATTTTGGTTTATTTGGTTAATATTGAGAGATGATTTTTTAGCAAAGTCCTAAATTTATAAGTTGTCAGGGGATCCTTGACCTGTTCTGGTAGCGAGTTCCAAATGTTTGGGCCCTTTATGTGCATAGCGTTCATGCATAATGACGGACTCGAGGGATGTTGAAAAGTGCCTTATGCCTTGTATTGTGACTGCATTCTGTTGTAACTGTCAAGGAGTAGCTTTAGGGGAGGGTTTACAGTGGAGTTTAATGTTCTGTATGTGTAGTAGGTACAATAATGCGAGTGTATGTCTTGCATACTTAGCAAGTTGAGTCTTGAAAAGTGGTGGGGTGTGCTGTTTAGCACAGAAGCTGGTTATCACCTGCAAGGAATTATTGAGAGGTGCCTTCATACCAGTGAAGGGCTCTTGATCCAAAAAAATTAGTGCTATTCTCCCTTTCATTGGCTTGGTTGGCAATGCACTCTCCTCACACGCTGAGTGTCCGTGGTTTAATCCCTGGCATGGGTGGAAACATTGGGCATGCAAGCCAAGACAAATGCCACATGCATAATCAGGACATTTTTTGAAGACCTTTTGCTACTGGTTACTTTTTCCAGCCTAATAGTAAAAAACTAGTATATAGCAGACAGACATCAGTTGCAACCCAAAAAGACAGGTTGAGGTTACTTGTTGGCATTGAGTGGAAGGGGTACTGTACGCAAGAAGGGAGTTGTATATGAAAAGGCTCTGCCTAGCATGGGCTAGTAGGTCTGTTGCAGTGCTGTTGTCACTTGATAGCAGTGTTTTGTTTGGGCAGAATAATTTTGGCAAAAATAGAAAGATATACATGTATTGTCAGTACTAGCACAGCTGTATTGGTCATGAAGACTTTTGATACCTTTTATATATGAATAAAGGAATGTTGCATTGCCCTAAGTGTTTAGGATGGAAAAAAGTACAAAGTACTTGATAAATTGTTGCACTGGAAAACTACCATAGCTAGAGAACTTTTTTTTTATAGTAGAAGTTTCTGGTATATTCCATTATTTTATAGACCTTCACTAGGCATGGCATTATCCCAGTTTGCATTACTTATCTGATCATTTGATTAAGCAACTTTTAAGAGTTAAAAAAAGAAAATTACTTAATTTTCTTATACCATTATGGTATTGATGTAAATTTGAAGGTAGTACTTACTGTAGTTTTCATCCCTAATAGGTATTTTTCTCAAATTCTTCGTGGTAGAACCTGCATAGCCTTGAAGAGCTGGTTTCAGTACCAAGGTTAGGTTAAGTATAATTCTTTGGCTCATTCACTTTGGATTCTTGCCAAGTATTCAGATGTTTTTTTTTTTTTTTTTTTTTTTTTTTTTTTTAACTGAGCATTACCAAAGGGTCACAGATTGTATTTTCAAAAGTGTAATTATTAGGTACTGTTTTATATTACTGGTTCGAGCCAAAGATTCTTAAATATATATACAGTAATTTGTAAAATTTAATAACCCTAGTGAGTAAATTGAAATTAATTGGTATTCCTTTTAAATACAAAAATATTTAGTAGATTAAGAAAAGTAAGGTATGCATGTTAACCCTTTCAGGGTCCGTCCCGTAGATCTACGGCTTTATGTTCAGGGTCCAAACCGTAGATCTACGCCATGAGCTCAGCTCACTCTGATAAACTGTGAGTGGTACATTTGGGCCTAGATATGAGAGAATACATCTATGTGGTATGTGTGCACCACATAAAACAGATCCTGCAGCACACTGTGTATAATGAGAGAAAAAAAATTAAATCATGATTTTTCGATTAAAACAGCAACTTTGCAGTGTTTTTTCGTATGTTTTTTATAGTTGTATTTGCGATTTCTTGGTCTCATTTGATAGAATGGAAGACATATTACAGAAATAGAGATGATTTTGATTGGTTTTAGCACTTGAAATGGCTTGAAACTGAGCTCAAAGTAGCAGAAATGTTAATTTTTTGCCGATATTCAAGAGTAAACAAACGACCTCACACGTCTAATACACGTCAGCTGGTGGGTCTAATATACATTCACAAATATGGTGATGATATTTATACAATTATTACAGTATTGCATAACAGTAAATCTTCTATTTTTTGGTGTGAATAAAAATTCATTATGTGAATAAAAAATCATAATGGAATTTATTTGTAAAGCCTCAAAACATAACTAATGAACAGAGGAAATGTTAGTTTAGTGCCAGGAATGCCTACATTGTTCATTCTGGACCCTATTTTGAAATTGGAATATTTTGAACTTTGTGTTAAATTGGCCAAATTAACAATTTCCGATCACTTTATTTTGTAGTTGAAACAGTTGACTTGGCGATTTCTTGTGCTCAATCGATAGAATAGAAGTAATACTAGTGAAATAGCTAAGAATTTGGTTGATTGGAATAATGTAATTGGCCTAAAATGGGAGTCAAAGTCGGCAAAATCGCCGATTCGTAAATATCGCTGACACACCAAAATTTGCGAGAGCATAATTTCGTCAATTTTCCACCAAATTTCGTACTTTTTGTTTTATTACCTTCACAAAAAGATTCTCTACGATTTCATAAGAAAAAATAACAAATTTTTTTTTTTTGAAAATTCTTGGACACTGGTGCGTGACTCCAGATTTGGGCCTTGGACCCTGAAAGGGTTAAACTTTAAATATTGTAGGAGAAACAAAAGTCCCAAAATGTACTCGTTTATGTGGGCTTTGTTAACCTTTTCAGTATCTAATGTAGTTTGCCTGCTCTCCTCTGTTCACCTGGTCTTCCCTTTCTCTTCTGCATTTTACCCCTTTTTTCCTGCCCATCCCTCATTCACATGCTCATCTTTCTCCTTGCTCTTCCATCCCTTAAGTTCTCTCCTGGCCTGTTGTCGTACATTTAAATCTTGCGTAAATGTGATTCAGTTTTCATTAGTGATTCTTGCCTTGGCTGGATGGAAATGACAAGATACTCGGGTACTAGTAATGAGACAGATAGAATACTGTATCTTGGAAAAATCTGGATATCTCTAAGGGTGCAATTCAAACTTCGTTGAATGTAATTCAGGTTTAGCAATGGCTGGATAGGAGTTAACATTCATATTTTTTCCATCATGGCAACCCCTTCAAGGGTAAGGGGGTTGCCATGAAAGAGCTCTTGATTCCTGAAATTGAAACTACCCTTCCCTTCCTCAGATCAAACTTGACTGTCTTTCCTTCTCAGGTGCTGTATGGCTCCCTAAGGATATTTAGCTCCTCCAGTTGAATATAGACTACTTATTGTGTATTGTATTTATAATGTTTGAGAATTAAAGGAAATTCCTTTTTAATACAGTAGCTTTTTAGGTTTGCTTGCATACCTGAAAAAGATTGGGCATGCAGTGTTGGATAAATTTTCGAAACACTGTAATAGCATGTCACTCATTGCCTGAGTACAGAAATATTAAAATAAATTTGTTTACATAGTGCAGTAACCAGTTTTACAACATCAAATTAACACACACATACATACACACATTAAAAGTAGTGGAAGATGTCCAACAGGGTGTGGCATATTGGATGACCTTGGTACAAGAGGGAAATAAAGTAATGTGATTAACAAGAAAGAGGCAGAGAAGACCAGAAGACTGAACCAGAGGGAGGGAGAGAAGGCAGTAATAGTACAGCAGTGGTAATAGTAATAAGGGAGTAGTAGTAGTAGTGCTGTTACTTTGTCACTATTACTATTACAACTTGCCACCAGCTAGTACTGCTACTTAACCACCACCACGACTGATACTTTCAAATCACCACTACCACTATACCACCACTATTTTATCACTGCTACTAATGTATTTTTCTTTAGGTACTGAAATATTTAGTATCTTATGCCATAGACGTAGTCTATAAGAAACCAGTGATGGAAGCTGGGAGTACGTATGTTATTTTAAACCATACCATGAGTGGGGTTAGAACACGCAATCAGTCATAAAACTCCTGCCTGATGCACTAGCCACTGGGCCAGCTGGCTAGAATAAGATTCGTCCAACTAGGTATATTTATGCACCATAGGAAGGTTAGCATAGGCACCACTGTGACCACAAAAGCAAGTTTCAATAGTGTCATTACTATTTTGTGAGGAGTTACACTATTTTAAGTTTTCGGTTGTGCCCAGTTTAAAGTAAGACTTGTAGATGTCAAGAAAGACTTCAAATAAAATAAAAATTCCTAGCTGTCGCTATTGTATTGAACATATTGTACAAAAAAAAATAGGGAAAGGTATAATAAATAATAAATTTGTTCTGTCGCTTGTAACCCTTTACAGTAGATACAGTTTTACAATATTTACAGAAAGCATGTCCTCTAGCTGCAGTGACCACCAGAGCTCCATACTCTACAGAGAGTACGGATCTGCGGGAAGTTATGGCACAAAAGGTCCCACTTGTTCAGGAACAAGTAAAGGCCTTCCGTAAGAAACATGGCGACACCAAGATTGGAGAGATAACTGTTGATATGGTAAGATTTTTTTTCACTTAATCTTGGCTGTAATTTTTGCATGCACAGTACTGCCTTTGGTGAGAAAATGCCTCGTGTTTAAAAGTAAATACAGTGGACCCTCGACCAACGATGGCATCGTATAACGTTAAATTCGACTAGCGATACATTTTAACACTAACATTTTGCCTCGATTAACGCTAAAAAACTCGACTAACGTTATTCGTTCTCGGGTACCAATTAATATCGTTAGTCGAGGGTCCACTGTACTGGACTGTATACTGTATGGTTATAAAATATAAATGTGTATGTGTGTACTTGGAGAAGAGAGGATTGTAGAGGGGGGGGGAGATTTTGGGAGATGTTAAGTGAGTGTGTAGGAACTTGAACCAAAGGAGGGAGTAATTGTGGTAGGGGACCTAAATACTAAAGTAAAAGCATTTGATTGAACTTCGTATAGAAAGGGGTTTGGTTATAGGTAACAAATATTTTAAGAAAAAATGTATAAATAATTATACAAGATAAGATATAGGGTGCAATGAGTTTGTTGAGCTACATATTTGTAGATAAGACTATTGGGTAGACTTCAGGTTGTACATGTTTATAGAGGGGCCACAGATATCAGATCACCTTTTAGTTGTAGCTAGAGTGAGAGTAAAAGGTAGATGGGATACAAGGAAAATGGAAGCAGCAAGAGAGAGGTGAAGGTTTATAAACTAGAGGAGGACGCAGTTAGGGTAAGATATAAATAACTATTGGAGGACAGATGGGCTAGTGTGAGTATAGGCAATGGGGTAGAAGATGTATGGGGTAAGTTTGAGAATAGTGTTAGTGTTCAGCAGAAGTTTGTGGTTACAGGAAAGTGAGTGTGGGAAGGAAGAAGAGCAATTGGTGGAATGATGTAAAGAGTATTAAGAGTTAGCATATGAGAGGTTTTTACAAAGTAGAAGTGATGCAAGGAGGGAGGAGTGTATGGAGAGAGAGAGAGAGAGATTAAGAGAGTGGTGAAGCAGTGTACAAAGAGAGCAAATGAGAGAGTGGATGAGATGTTAACAAATTTTGTTGAAAATAAAGTTTTGGAGTAAGATTAATAAGCTGAGTAAGCCTAGGGAACAAATGGATTTTAGTTAAAAAATAGGAGAGGAGAGTTATTAAAGGGAAAGTTAGAGGTATCAGGAAGATGAAGGGAATATTTTGAGGAGTTGTTAAATGTTGATAAAGGTAGGGAAGCTGCAATTTTGTGTATAGGGCAAGGAGGAACAAAATCTTATAGGAGTGAGGAAGAACCAGTTGAAAGTGTGGGGAAAGTGCATGAGGCAGTGGGTACAATGAAAGGGGGTAAAGCAGCTGGGATTGATGGAATAGATAGAAATGTTAAAGCAGGTGGGGGATGTAGTTTTGGAGTGGTTAGTGCTTTTATTTAATACGTGTGGAAGAGGGTAAGGTACCTAGGGATTGGCAGAGAGCATGCATAGTTCCCTTGTATAAAGGCAAAGGGCACAAAAGTGTATAAATTATAGGGGAATAAGTCTGTTGATGAAGGTAGGGAAGCTGTGATTTCATGTATAGGGCAAGGAAGAATAACATCTTGTAGGAGTGAGGAAGAGCCAGTTGAGTGTGGGGAAAGTTCATGAGGCAGTGGTAAGAATGAGAGGGTAAGGCAGCTGAGATTGATGGAATAAAGACAGAAATGTTAAAAGAAGTAGGGGATATAGTTTTGGAGTGGTTGGTGCTATTTAATAAATGTATGGAAGAGGGTAAGGTACCCAGGGATTGGCAGAGAGCATGCATAGTTCCTTTGTATAAAGGCAAAGGGGATATAAGAGTGCAGAAATTATCGGGGAATAAGTCTGTTAGTATACCTGGTAAAGTGTATGGTAGTTATTATTGAAAGAATTAAGAGTAAGATGAAGAGCAGGATAGCAGATGAACAAGGAGGCTTCAGGAAAGGTAGGGGGTGTGTAGACCAAGTGATTACAGTGAAACATATAAGTGAACAGTATTTAGATAAGGGTAAAGAGGTTTTTGTGGCATTTATGGATTTAGAAAAGGCATATGACAGTGTGGATAGGGGGGCAGTGTGGCAGATGTTGCAGGTATATGGTATAGGAGGTAGGTTACTGAAAGCAGTGAAGAGTTTTTATGAGGATAGTGAGGCTCAGGTTAGAGTATGTAGGAGAGAGGGAGATTATTTCCCAGTAAAAGTAGGCCTTGGACAAGGATGTGATGTCACCGTGGTTGTTCAATATATTAACAGATGGGGTTGTAAGAGGAATGCTAGGGTCTTGGCAAGACGTGTGGAGTTAAAGGATAAAGAATCAAAGACAAAGTGGGAGTTGTCACAGTTGTTCTTTGCTGATGACACGGTGCTTTTGGGAGATTCTGAAGAGAAGTTGCAGAGGTTGGTGGATGAATTTGATAGGGTATGTAAAAGAAGAAAATTAAAAGCGAATATAGGAAAGAGTAAGGTTATGAGGATAACAGAAAGATTAGGTGACGAAAGACTGGATATCAGAGTGGAGGGAGAGTTAGTTTAATATGTTTATTATGCACCCCATACCCATCCTGTGGGCGGTAGTCAAAAGATTAGAGGTACATAATTGGTCCAGGGACCGGACTCCAAAGTTTTGATAGCTGAGCAAGTTACAAAGGTAATGAACTAGATCTGGTCATAATCATGACCAAGTTACAAAGGTAATGAGCTCCAGGTAGAGCTGGTCACACTCATGAATAATTGCAAAGGTAATGAATCATAAACACATTAATCATGAGAATTTACAAAGATAATGAGCTCCAGGTAGAGCTGGTCAAAATCATGACAAGTTTCAAAGGTAATGAATGATAAACATGTTATCACATGATTACAATCATAGACAAATTAGAGTAATGAGCAGTTAACAAACATAGCAGGGAATTCATCCATAGCCCCAACAACAGATGTTGCTAGGTGCCTGTCTCTCCTTGGTAGACAGCCATTGCAAACAGCAGCAAGTTGCCCTGGGATCTGCTGCTTGCACGAGCACCATCGACCCTCCCCAAGAGGTCCAAGAAGCCAGTGACTCCATTAGCAGCCCAATGCAGAGCTCCCCTAGGGACATGTCAGCGTCCTTGTGGACGCCAAGTTGATTGAAGACCCAGGCCCTCGTGTGCACGGATGTTGAAGCTTGAGGAACTGAGTACACACTGCCTGTGGCACACCTGACATCTGCCTCACGGTTGAACTCCACGATGCTGTCCCTGTAGTGGAAGTTCCTGTGAGCCCGGCACTCCCTGCAGTGCCATCGCTGACATCGTGGGTTAGGGGAGAAGTACCCTCTACAGATGGGGTGGCGCTGGGAGTTGGGTGGGTGAGGCGGGGGAGACGCGCAGGGGTGAGGTGTTATGAGAGGGTCACTGTTTACTACACACGCCCTCCCCCTCCCCCCCAGCGGAGAGGGGGGGAGGCGCTGACTGGTCCTGACTCGACAACACCAAATCATCTGAAACTGCACAACACTTCAACTATTTTCACTGAAACGATGCACTGGGATGTCCGTTCGCTGCTCTGGTATCTTCTCAAAGCATTCACACTGAGTTCTGTTAAGTAGGGACCTGGTCAGCCTCTTTGACCAGGAGCTATCCTTGAAAATCCCGCAGCTAGCCCGCTACACAACCTGCCGTGCCGGCCATGTTGAGCCCTGTCGAGTGGAGGGAGAGAGTATGGAGGAGGTGAATGTATTCAGATATTTAGGAGTGGATGTGTCAGCAGATTGGTCTATGAAGGATGAGGGGGAAAAGGGTGAGTGGTGCACTTAGGAGTCTGTGGAAGCAAAAAGGGGAATGTATGAGAGTATAGTTGTTCCGACAGTCGTGTATGGGTGTGAAGCATGGGTGATGAATGCTGCAATGAGAAGGCTGGAGGCAGTGGAGATGTCATGTCTAAGGGCAATGTGTGGTGTGAATATAATGCAGAGAATTCGTAGTTAGGAAATTAGGAGAAGGTGTGGCATTACCAAAACTATTATCCAGAGGGCTGAGGAGGGGTTAAGGTGGTTCAGACATGGAGAGAATGGAACAAAACAGAATGACTTCGAGAGTGTATAAATCTCTAGTGGAGGGAAGGCGGGGTAGGGGGTGGCCTAGGAAGGGTTGGAGGGAGGGGGTAAAGGAGGTTTTGTGTGTGAGGGACTTGGACTTCCAGCAAGCGTGCATGAGCGTATTTGATATCGAGTGAATGGAGACAAATGATTTTTAATACTTGACGTGCTGTTGGAGTGTGAGCAAAGTAACATTTATGAAGGGATTCAGGGAAACCGGCAAGTTGGACTTCAGTACTGGAGATGGGAAGTACATTTCTACACTCTGAAGGAGGGGTGTTAATGTTGCAGTTCTATAACTGTAGTGTAAAGCACCCCTCTGGCAAGACAGTGATGGAGTGAATAGTGTTGAAAGTATTTTTGGGGGCACCCTGCCTTGGTGGGAAACAGTCAATGTGTTAGTAAAAAAAAAAAAAATGTAAATGTGCATATTAAATTCTCAGTGACTTGCAGATGTATGGTGGTATGCGAGGCATGAAGGGATTAGTGACTGAAACTTCTGTGCTGGACCCCGAGGAGGGTATTAGATTCCGTGGCTACTCTATTCCAGAGTGCCAGAAACTCTTGCCAACTGCTGAAGGTGGGGCTGAACCTTTGCCAGAAGGTCTCTTCTGGCTTCTCTGTACTGGGGACATACCAACTAAAGCTCAGGTCAGTTTGAAGTACTGTACAATTTTGTCCTGATAGTCATTTTTATACATATACTGTTATATTGAGTTTTAAGCTTTTTTTTTTTTTTAACACTCTTGCTTAATGTGGAAATGGTCTACATATCTTTTAAAGTTTATAAAAGCAATATTATATATGTGCCAAGTATTATTTCAAAGTTAGTCTACCTTCACTTAACGACCTAGTGAGGTATGAAATAAATGTTCATTAAGCGAAAAATATTAAATTGCATTTTCCATACACGTAATGTAGTGCGTAAACTAGAACAATAATCCATAGTTTTCTCAGGAGAATGATACTCAAGTTTGGGCATGTTGGAGAGGTGGGGCTATTTTCCAGTAAAAGTAGGCCTTTTACTGGAAAATAACTCTTCTGATCAGCTTCAAATTTTCACTAATGGAATGGGTTTCCTGAACACAAGACTCTTGCTGCTGTGGGGTAGCACAGGTCTCAATCTTATTAAATAATGTTCATTTTGCATTCAATAGGTAATAAAGGCTTCTTTTGACTATCTTCAAAATAATATTGACTGCATTCAATAATAATGATAACCCATGTGTTTAGTCCAAATAGATGCAAATCTGAAATTTTACTGAAATGTTTAAAAAGAAAAAAAAAACTATGAATTGTTGGAAACTGGTCAGTTACTGAAGGATCCCTTTTCTGGTTTTCAAACTTTTACCATTGGTGGACTTTATTAAAACGGCTGATCACACGCTTTGAACTGTATAAATTTCAATTTACCATTATGATTTTTGAAATGGTAACGCCACAGTTGGAAATAAATTGCAAAATTGGTGGGGACTTTTAACACGTGGCAGGCAATTCCTATTAGAAGCAGCTGGTCCAGTGGCTAGCTCACCGATTTGTCAGTTTTATGACACTCCTGCTGTGTTCGAGCTCCACCTGTTCAGTTTGCCAGTTTTATTAAGCATATTGTTTTCCATGTAATAACTAGTGAATGTTCTTTTTATGTTTACATATTACTGGAGAAAGGATCCTTTAATTGGCCATTTTGTCACTTAACCTCTAAAAGGTATGGTACTTGTTGCATTATTTTTCCCCTTAGGCTGGTGAAGTGCTCTTGGTCCAAGAAACTGAATGCATCTTCCTCTAGCATGAATCAGATTTTAATGCCTCTCCTTTCACTTTCCTCTGGTTAAAGTACAACTATTGTAAACTGGATCAGTCTTCAATGGCTGATGAATCATATGAAATGGATTCATCATTTCATGGGTTTAGGCTTCTAGGCATAAATTTTGTAGGATTCTGTGAAATGACTGGAAAATGCATCTTCTGGACAGCTCTACATTTTTGTACTGATGTGTTTTCCTCATAGGAAACAATATCTTGATAGGTTATGCAAGTTGTGTATCAATTTGCACCAATTTTATTAATCAAATTTGTTTCTTTGAAATAATTGAAGAATCACACTTCTAAGAAATAAGTCAGTGTTTGACTTCATTCGATCATCCTAGGTTAAATTAACTTAATATTCTTTAATGTGCCTATAATATCTGTTTATCTTGAAGACCATTGTTAAACATTTGTATGCCATGTACACTAGGCATACACATCCCTTAAAAGCTGGCCAGTTTTACTAGGAGAAATTTTTGTAATTTTAACCTGTGTAGGTCGCAGTTTGTGTTTTGGAAGGAATTAAAATAATGTTTTTTGTAAGGCCCTAGTATGCAGAGGCCTGTTTATGCGAGAGTACTATATGGCGTTTTGCCTGCTGGTAATTAGTCTACCAGGCAGAAGTGAAGATGGGGGGGGGGTGTCATGGAGCCTCCCCGATGATTTATTTTGTTTAACTCATTAGTGGCAGTGTGCTAGTGAGCTAATGTGAACAAGTGTGTGATGGTTTTATACAAGTTATATAAGTTAGCAATATTATATATATTTTTATATAGGCGAGTTTGTCCTTCCTAATGATAATTAATATTGTTTAATATGAGTACATGCTGCCCCAAGGGTTGCTCTGTATTTCAGCATAATTTTATAACCCCTAGACAGCAGGGTGCGCAACCTTTAGGAACCAGGACCATTTTATTTAAGTTACAACATCAGTCGTAACAGTGAGCATATCTACCCCTTTCGCGACAACTTCCTTGATTTCCTTTTTCTTCCCCACGATGGAAGTGATCGTTGAATGGGGGCTTCCCGTACATCCTGCTGAGGTCGGCCACATGCACTCCACTTTCATATTTTGCAATGATTTCTTTCTTTAATTCCGTTGTGTTTCCCACCTTTACCAAAGGCCTGGCACTAGGATCTTCCTTTGGGTCCATGGTGGCTTATTTAGCAGTTGCAAACACACAAAAGAATGGAATATTAGGAAATGTATCTTATGAACACGTGGGGTGATGGTCACTCACCGAGAAACAATACCACACTGACTCTGAATGGTGTCGGGTGCCTTTGTGTGCACGGACACTGGGAGGCCACTCGGACGCATTCCATACGACTGATGAATGGTGAGGCAAATCACAAAACGCGAGGCTATATTTTGACGGAAAAAAAATTGCCAAAAGTCTAAATTCACGAAGCGTGGGGCTTGCAAAAGTCGAGGGTCCACTGTATAAAGCGGTGTAGTATATGCTAAAACACTAAATTTTGATGTCGGGTATTTTATAAAGTAAGGCACCAACAGCATAGATGGTCAATACTTCTAAACAATAACACTTCATGAGGTGTTCACTATGCTACATGTCTCAGATCTAGCCTCTTTATCTCTGGTTTTACAAGTGCTGCAGGATCTTTATGGGTTTGTTGCTTCCAATGAATATACCATTGTATATAACATTTATTATTTTTGTACATTGCAGGCTGCCTCTTTATCAAAGGATTGGGCCAATAGAGCTGACCTACCCCCTCATGTCGTAAACATGCTGAACAATTTTCCATCTAACCTACATCCTATGGCCCAGTTCTCAGCAGCCATCACAGCTCTGAATTCTGAAAGCAAATTTGCAAAAGGATATAGTGAAGGTGTGCCGAAGTCAAAATACTGGGAGGTATGTGGACTAATGTTAATTCCCCCCAAAATTTTTTTGACACATTGGCCATTTCCAACCAAGGCAGGGTGGCCCAAAAAAGAATGACTTTCATCATTCACTCTATCACTGTCTTGCCAGAGGCATGCTCACACTACAGTAATAAAACTGCAACATTAACACCCCTCCTTCAGAGTGCTGGCACTGTACTTCCCATCTCCAGGACTCAAGTCTAGCCTGCTGGTTTCCCTGAATCCCTTCATAACTGTTACCTTGCTCACACTCCAACAGCATGTCAAGTCCTGAAAACCATTTGTCTCCATTCGCTCCTCTCTGACACGCTCGTGCATGCTTGCTGGAAGTCCAAGCCCCTCGCACACAAAACCTCCTTGACACACACTCATTCACACACACTCTCTCTCTCTCTCTCTCTCTCTCTCTCTCTCTCTCTCTCTCTGTCTCTCTCGTTTCTCTCTGTCTCTCCTTGTCTCTCTCTCTGTCTCTCTCTTCTGTCCTCTCTCTCTGTCTCTCTCTCTCTGTCTCTCTCCTCTTCTCTCTCTCTCTGTCTCTCTCTCTGTCTCTCTCTTCTCTCTCTGTCTCTCTCTCTCTCTCTCTGTCCTCTCCTGCTCTCTTCTGTCCTCTCGTCTCTCTTCTTCTCTCTCTGTCTCTCTCTCTGTCTCTCTCTCTCTTCTCTTCTCTCTCTGTCCTCTCTCTCTGTCTCTCTCTCTGTCTCTCTCTCGTCTCTCTCTCTCTGTCTCTCGTCCTCTCTCTGTCTCTTCTCTCTCTGTTCCTCTCTCTCTCCTCTGTCTCTCTCTCCTGCCTCTGCTGTCTCTCTCTCTCTGTCTCTCTCTCTCTCTGTCTCTCCTCTCTCTGTCTCTCTCTCGCTCTCTTCTCGTCTCTCTCTCTCTCTCTCTGTCTCTCTCTCTCCTCTTCTCTCTCGTCTGTCTCTGTCTGTCTCTCTGTCTGCTCTCTCTCTCTGTCCTCTCTCTCTCTGTCTGTCTCTCTCTGTCTCTCTCTCTCTCTCTCTCTGTCTGTCTCTCTGTCTCTCTCTGTCTTCTCTCTCTTCGTCTCTCTCTCTGTCTCTCTGTCTTCTCTCTGTTTTCTGTCTCTCTCTCTCTGTCTCTCCTCTCTGTCTCTCTGTCTCTCTCTCTGTTCTTGTCTCTCTGTACTGTCTCTCTCTCTCTCTCTCTCTTCTCTCTCTCTCTTCTCTCTCTCTCTCTCCTCTCTCTCTCTTCTCTCTTCTCTGTCCTGCTGTCTCTTTTTCTCTCTCTCTCTCTGTCTCTGTCTCTCTCTGTCTGTCTCTCTCTCTCTCATCTCTCTCTCTCTCTCTGCTCTCTGTCTGTCTCTCTCTCTCTCTCTGTCTCTGTCTTTTCTCTGTCTGTCTCTCTGTCTCTCTCTCTCTCTCTCTCTCTCTGTCTCTCTTCCTCTGTCTCGTCTCTCTGTCTCTCCTCTTCTGTCTCTGTCTCAGTCTCTTCTCTGTCTCTCTCTCTCTCTTCTCTCTCTTCTGTCTCTCCTCTCTGTCTCTCTCTGTCTCTCTTCTCGTCTCTCTGTCTTCTGTCTCTCTCTGTCTCTGTCTCTCTCTCTGTCTCCTCTCTCTGTCTCTTCTCTGTCTCTCTCTCTGTCTCTCTCTCTGTCTCTCTCTCTGTCTCTCTCTCTTCTTCTCTCTCTGCTTCTCTCTCTGTCTCTCTCTCTCTCTGTCTCTCTCTCTGTCTCTTGTCTCTCTCTCTTCTGTCTCTGTCTGTCTCTGTCTCTCTCTTGCTCTGTCTCTGTCTCTCTGTCTCTGTCTCTCTCTCTCTGTCTCTCTTCTCTCTCTCTCTCTCTGTCTCTGTCTCTTCTTCTCTCTCTCTCTGTCTCTCTCTCCTCTGTCTCTCTCTCTGTCTCTCTCTTCTCTCTCTCTCTCTGTCTCTCTCTCTTCTCTGCTCCTCTCTCTCTCTCTGTCTCGTCTCTCTCCTCTCTCTCTGTCTCTGTTCTCTCTCTGTCTCTCTCTCTTCTCTCTCTGTCTCTCTCTGTCTCTCTCTGTCTCTGTCTCTGTCTCTGTCTCTCTCTCTGTCCTCTCTCTCTGTCTCTCTGTCTCTCTCTCTGTCTCTCTCTCTGTCTCTCTGTCTCTCTCTCTGTCTCTCTGTCTGTCTCTCTTCTGCCCTCTCTCTGTCTGTCTCTCTCTGTCTCTGTCTCTCTCTGTCTCTCTCTCTCTCTGTCTCTCTCTCTCTCTCTCTCTCTCTCTCTCTGTCTCTGTCTCTCTCTCTGTTTCTCTCTCTCTCTGTCTCTCAACCTTTCCTAGACCAACTTGTCCTGCCTTCCCTTCACTCGATATTTATACACTTGAAGCCAGTCTTATTTTGTTCCATCCTCTCATGTCTGAACCACCTTAACAACTCCTCCTCAGCCCTCTGGATAATAGTTTTGGTAATCCTGCACCTCCTAATTTCCAAACTATGGATTCTCTACATTATATTCACACCACACATTGCCAATAAATATATTAAGGAAATATTAAACTATGATTGACAGAATTTTTGAAGGTGAACCATGGTGTAACCTTCAAGGTAACAAAGCAGCAGAAACTCATGCTGGGGGTAATTATTTCCTTGGAAAGTCTGAGATAATGGTTTTAATGCTCTGGCAAGGACAAGTCGGTCAGACCCCTCACTGAAAGGTCAAGGACACCTTCGCATATTGTTTACTAGGTGGAGATTCTGTTGAGCCTAGGTTTGAAGTCCTGTATCCAGAGTAGTTTAGTGTGATAGTGAGGTGGTTATATCATTACTTAATTTGGACTATTCTTTGCTTATGAGTTACTTGAATGTTCATCTTGGAAGTGGACTGAAGATGTGCAAATATTGTTCGTGCTGAATGGCTAAATTTTTATACTTAATCTAAGTTGTGAAAATTGTTTATACCAACAGCTCTGCTTTGAAGACTCTCTCAACTTGATTTCCAAACTGCCTACGGTAGCTGCTACAATTTACCGTAATCTGTATAGAGATGGAACAAGTATTGGAGCCATTGATCCTTCCAAAGACTGGTCAGCCAACTTTACTGCAATGCTGGGCTATGATGACCCTCAGTTTACAGAGCTCATGCGTCTCTACCTTACAATCCACAGGTAGTTATTATTTCTTGTTAAGTCTTTAGGAATACTAAAAAAAGATATTCCAGGTCTGTTAATTTTTTAGCCTTGCTTCTGCTGTTTCCTTTTGATCTCTCCATTTGCAATGTGAATTAAGAGCACACAAGGACACTTGTAGCTTCAGATTAGAGTTCAATTTTATCTCTAAACCGCACGAGCCTCACTAACTTTACCAAAATCTGATAAATAGTCATGTGCCACATAACGACATTTTGGTCAATGACAGACTGCATATACAACGGTGTAAACAAGCTTACTGCACTGCCAGTCGCATTAAATTTTAGCACAGAATTATGTACAGTACATAGCACTTGATGATGATAAACAACTATGTTACTGGATTGTGTATTTACTATACTGTACCTTTTATTGTTATTCTAGAAGGTACTCTTTCTACTTGTAAAAAAAATTTAAAATGGTATGTTGCGTTTCATCTTGTGTTTATCACGTCTCTTCGTAGCATCATTTTTCCCTTGTGCTTGATTCAAACTTTTGTTCATCATGGCCCCTGCAGAAGAAGGGGAAAGATGAGCCCCAAAGAAAATTTACAGTGAAGGGTTTAGCAGAAGCTTTTGCAGACCAAAACAAACTCCTTAAAAGTTAGAAAATGTGGACCCCCAACACCGAAAGATTTTCATTAATAGGGGAATGTTCATTGTGCATTATCTTAAGCAAATTTCGTGGAAAAAACAAAGAAACTATATAGCCTAGGTGTGTAGTAGGCTGTGCTGTACCATCTAGGTTTGTGCAAGTGCATACACTGACATTTGCACAACAAAATTGCCTAATGACATGTTTCTCAGAACTTACCCCATTGTTGAGCGATGCATGACTATTAATGCCATAAATACTGCTGTCACTGCACCTCTTCGAAAATTTTACACTAATGCTTACCCGAGACTTCTGGAAAACACACACAACCACACACATGAAATGATAGAATGTGTAACAACAAAATGCAAGGAGGCAGTGGAAAGGTTTATTCCCAAGGGCAACAGAAACAATGGGAAGACCAGAACGAGCCCCTGGTTTATCCGACGGTGCAAGGAGGCAAAAAACAAAGTGCAATAGAGAATGGAAAAAGTACAAAAGGCAGAGAACACATGAAAATAGGGAGATTAGTCGCAGAGCCAGGAACGAGTATGCACAGGTAAGGAGGGAGGCCCAGCGACAGTATGAAAATAACAGCATCAAAAATCAAGACTAACCCAAAACTGTTGTATAGCCACATCAGGAGGAAGACAACAAAGACCAGGTGATCAGACTGAGGACAGAAGGTGGAGAACTCGCAAGAAATGATCAGGAGGTATGTGAGGAGCTAAACAGGAGATTTAAGGAAGTTTTTACAGTAGAGACAGGTAGGGCTCTGGGAAGACAGCACAGAAGGGAACATCAAGAGGGAATATACCAACAAGTGTTGGATGACATACAAACAACCGAGGAGGAGGTGCAGAAGCTGCTAAGTGACCTTAATACCTCAAAGGCAATGGGACCGGACAACATCTCCCCGTGGGTCCTTAAAGAAGGAGCAGAGATGCTGTGCGTGGCCCTAACCACAACCTTCAACACATCCCTTGAAACTGGGCAACTACCTGAGAAATGGAAGACGGCAAATGTAGTCCCCATATTTAAGAAAGGAAACAGAAACAAGGCACTAAACTACAGACCTGTCTCTGACATGTATGCAAAGTCATGGAGAAGATTATTGGGAGGAGAGTGGTGGAACACCTGGAACGGAACAAGATTATAAATGAAAACCAGCATGGGCTCATGGAAGGCAAATCCTGTGTCACAAACCTTCTGGAGTTTTATGACAAGGTAACAGAAGTAAGACACGAGAGAGAGGGGTGGGTTGATTGCATTTTCCTAGACTGCAGGAAGGCCTTTGACACAGTTCCTCACAAGAGATTAGTGCAGAAGCTGGAGGATCAGGCGCATATAACGGGGGCTCTGCAATGGATCAGGGAATACCTGACAGGGAGGCAACAAAGAGTCATGGTACGTGAAGAGGTATCAGTGGGCGCCTGTGACGAGCGGGGTCCCACAGGGGTCAGTTTTAAGACCAGTGCTATTTTTGATATATGCGAATGACATGATGGAAGGAATAGACTCTGAAGTGTCCCTATTCGCAGATGATGTGAAGCTGATGAGAAGAATTAAATCGGATGAGGATGAGGCAGGACTGCAAAGAAACCTGGACAGGCTGGACATGTGATCCAGAAACTGGCTTCTCGAATTCAACCCTGCCAAATGCAAAGTCATGAAAATTGGGGAGGGGCAAAGAAGACCGCAGACAGAGTATAGGCTAGGTGGACGAAGACTACAGACCTCGCTCGGGGAGAAAGACCTTGGGGTGACCATAACACGGAGCACGTCACCAGAGGCACACATCAACCAAATAACTGCTGCAGCATACAGGCGCCTGGCAAACCTGAGAATAGCGTTCCGATACCTTAATAAGGAATCGTTCAAGATACTGTACACTGTGTATATTAGGCCCATACAGGAGTATGCAGCACCAGTCTCGAGCAAACACCTGGTCAAGCATGTCAAGAAGTTAAAGTACAAAGGTTTGCAACAAGGCTAGTCCCAGAGCTCGGGGGAATGTCGTACGAGGAAAGGTTGAGGGAAATCGGACTGACGACACTGGAGGACAGAAGGGTCAGGGGAGACATAATAACAACGTACAAGATACTGCTGGGAATAGACAAGGTGGACAGAGATAGGATGTTCCAGAGAGGGGACACAGAAACAAGGGGTCACAACTGGAAGCTGAAGACTCAGACGAGTGACAGGGACGTGAGGAAGTATTTCTTCGGTCGTAGTCGTCAGGAAGTGGAATAGCCTAGCAAGTGAAGTAGTGGAGGCAGGAACCATACATAATTTTAAGAAGAGGTATGACAAGGCTCAGGAAGCAGAGGGAGAGGACCTAGTAGCGATCAGTGAAGAGGCGGGGCCAGGAGCCGAGTCTCGACACCTGCAACCACAGTTAGGTGAGTACACACACACACACCCACACACACACACACACACACCACACCCACACACACACACACACACACACAACCACACACACAAACAACCACACACACACACAACCACACACACACAACAACACACACACAACACACACACACACACACACACACACACACAACACACACACAACCACACCACACAACCACACCAACACACAACACACACAAACACCACACACACCACACACCACCAACACACACACACAAACCACACACACACAACACACACACCACACACACAACACAACCACACACACACACACAACCACACACACACACACAACCCACACACACACAACAACACACACACACACAACAACACACAACCACACACACACAACCACACACAACACACAACCCAACACACACACACACACACACACACACACACAACACACAACACACACAACACACACACAACACCACACACAAAACCACACACCACACACACACACCAACAACACACAACACACACACACACACACACAACCACACAACACACACACACACACAACACCACACACACACACACACAACACACAACCACACACACACACACACACCCCACAACACCACACACACACACACACCCACACCACACACACACACAACGACACACACACACGACACCCACACACACACACACACACACACGCACACACAACACACACGACACACACACAACACACACACACCACACAACCACACACAACACACACACACGACACACACACACACACACACACACACACGACACAACCCACACCCACACCACACACACCACACACACACACACACACACACACACACACACACGACCACACACACACACAAACACACACACACACACAACACACACACGACACACACAACGACACACACACACACGACACACACACACCACACACACACACACACACACACCACACACACGACAACACCACACACACACACACACACACACACACAACACACACGACACACACACACACGACACACACACACAACACACAACACAACACACACCACACACGACACACACAACGACACACACACACACGACACACACACACGACACACCACACACACACGACACACACACACGACAAACACACACACACACACACGACACACACACACGACACACACACGAAACACACACACACACAGACACACACACGACACACACACGACACACACACACACGACAACCACGCAACCACACACTCCACCTACCTACACCCAGTGGCGTCGTAAGGGTAAGGCGGGCTGCCCTGGGTGACATAGAACCTCTAAAAAAGGCGAGACCATTACCCAAAACAGTGCTGCAGCAATATTAAGGAAGAATCCTTAGTTTCTATATCTTCTTATATGATTAGAGTACAAATAGGCCTATATGGGGAAAATCATTGATTTTGATGTGATAATTTTGAAGGATTGAAGGTAAGGAAATGTAAGGTCAAATCAGACCTAGTGTTTCCCTGATATTGCAATGTTTTTTTTTTTTTTTTTTTCTTCATTGTTGAAGATGAATAAATGTAGTCTGTTGCCTGTACTCAGTGGTATTTGAGTTTTTCCTCAATATTACAATGATTATTTTTTATTAATAAAGTTGAGAAGTATTCTCTTGTTTGGTTTAAGGCCCATTGCTAAACATTAGTCGCTGGGCATGCAGTAGTGACGTAACTGGAGTTTGCTACCCCCATCTCCCCGGCCTTGGATTTCATGGGGGTGACACTAAAGATGCCACCCCGGGTGACACCATCCATACTAACGCCACTGCCTAGACCTTTTTACCTTGACTAGGAAGAAATGAATGACATTTCAAGGGGGAGGGGGTAGGTAGGGACATTTTCCTAAGTAAACAAGTACCCTTACCTACCCTTGCCCATTGAAATGTAATTCATTTCTTTCTAATCAGCAGCCTGTTATGTTCATTGAGTTTACTTGAATGTTTATATTTAAATATTTTCTCTATACTAACATGCTTATTATCAATTTTCCTAACATTCACATGTATAGTTTTTGAGCAGAGAGCATGCATAGTTCCTTTGTATAAAGGCAAAGGGGACAAAAGAGAACGCAAACATTATAGGGGAATAAGTTGTTGGGAATACCTGGCACAGTGTATGAAAGTTATTATTGAAAGAATTAAGAGAAGACAAAGAGTAGGATTGCAAATAAACAAGGAGGCTTTAGGAAGGGTAGAGGGTGTGTAGACAAAGTGTTTACAATGAAACATAGGTGAACAGTATCTAGATGAGGGTAAAGAGGTTTGTGACTTTAATAGATTTGGAAAAGGCATATGACAGGGTGGATAAGGGGGCAATGTGGCAGATGTATGGAATAGGAAGTAGGTTATCGAAAACAGTGAAAAGTTTTTACAAGGATAGTGAGGCTCGGATTGGAGCCTGTAGGAGAGTGGGGGGGGGGGATTATTTCCCAGTAAAAGTAGGCCTTGGACAAGGATGTGTGATGTCACCATGGTTGTTCATTATATTTATAGATGGGGTTGTAAGAGAAGTGAATGCTCAGGTGTTGGCAAGAGGTTTGGGGTTAAAAGATAAAGAATCTAACACAAAGTGGGAGTTGTCACGGTTACTCTTTTCTGATTACACTGTGCTTTTGGGAGATTTTGAAAAGTTGGAGGCTGATGGATGAGTTTAGTAGGGTATGTAAAAGAAGAAAATTAAAAGTGAATATAGGAAAGAGTAAGGTGACGAGGATAAAAAAATTAGGTAATGAAAGATTGGATATCAGGTTGGAGGGAGAGAGTATGGAGGAGGTGAATGTGTTCAGATATTTAGGAGTGGATGTGTCAGCAGATGGATCTATGAAAGATTAGGCGAATCATAGAATTGATGAGGGGGGAAAAAGGTGAATGGTGCACTGAGGAGTCTGGAGACAAAGAACTTTGTCCATGAAAGCAAAGAGGGGAATGTATGAGAGAATAGTTGTACCAACACTTATATGGGTGTGAAGCACGAGTGGTGAATGTTGCAACAAGAACGCTGGAGGTAGTGGAGATGTCGTGTCTGAGGGCAATGTGTGATGTGAATATAGTGCAGAGAATTCTTAGTTTGGAAATTAGGAGGATGTAAGGGATGACCAAAACTTTTGTCCAGAGGGCTGAGGAGGGATTGTTGAGGTGGTTCAGGCATGTAGAGAGGGTGGACAAAATAGAATGACTTAGTGTATAAATTTGTAGTGGAGGGAAGGCAGGGTAGAGGATGGCCTAGGGAAGGTGGAGGGACGGGGTAACGGTGGTTTTGTGTGTGAGGGGCTTGAGCTTCCAACAAGCATGCATGAACATGTTAGATAGGAGTGAATGGAGGCAAATGGTTTTTAGGACTTGACGTGCTGTTGGAGTGTGTAGGGTAATGTTTATGAAGGGATTCAAGGAAACTGGCAGGCCAGACTTGAGTCCTGGAGATGGGAAATACAGTGACTGCACTCTGAAGGAGGGGTGTTAATGTTGCAGTTTTATAACTGTGGTGTAAGTGATCCTCTGGAAGACAGTGATGGAGTGATTGATGGTGAAAGTTTTTCTTTTTCAGGCCACCCCACCTTGGTGGGAAATGGCTGATGTGTTAATAAAAAAAAATTAAAAAATCTTTTTTTTATTATTCAGTGACCACGAGGGAGGAAACGTTTCTGCACATGCTACTCACCTTGTGGGATCTGCTCTATCTGACCCATACCTCTCATTTGCTGCTGGCATGAATGGCCTTGCTGGACCTCTTCATGGTTTGGCAAACCAAGAGGTAATGTTTAGGGTTTATTTTGCAGTCTTCTTTATAAATTTAGATGTGAGGTGTTGCACAACGGAAAAGAATAAATGCCACCACAGCCAAAGTCCAGATTAGTGAAGGAATAGATTCTTTAATTATAGGTCTGGGAATGTGTAGATATTGTCTTCATCTGTAAGTCATGCTTGGAGCCTCAAAACAAAGTTTGGTAAATTAAGCTTCATAGCTTTGATTTTTCTCCATGCCTGCATTTCTCTCCATTGTTTGGATTTCTTGTTTTCTGCCATGCAATGCCTCTTATACTTAAATACACAAGGATATTTAATTGATACAATATTCTAATATTGAACTTGTACTTAGACTGGGTACAGCTGTTTTGATTATTAGGTAGCCCTTGAAGGTGCATAATAAAATATTTGTTTTTCTCTTGTAGGTTCTTATGTGGCTCACGAAGCTGCGTGCTGAGATTGGAGATGATATAACTGAAGAGCAACTGAAAGAGTTTATCTGGAAGACTCTAAAATCTGGTCAAGTTGTTCCAGGCTATGGTCATGCAGTTTTGCGTAAAACTGACCCTCGTTATACATGTCAACGAGAGTTTGCTCTAAAACATCTTCCTGATGACAAGTTGTTTAAGGTAAGTCTTTATTTATTTTTTAAGTCGGCCGTCTCCCACCGAGGCAGGGTGACCCACAAAGGAAGAAAATCCTAACTGATTTCCCTGAATCCCATCACTAAATATTACCCTGCTCACACTCCAACAGCTCGTCAGGTCCCAAATACCATTTGTCTCCATTCACTATCTAACACGCTCATGCATGATTGCTGGAAGTCCAAGCCCCTCGCCCACATAACCACCACTGCTCCCTCCCTCCCAACATTTTCGAGGACGACCCCTACCCCACCTTCCTTCCCCTACAGATTTGTACAGTCTTCATGTCATTCTACTTGGATCCATTCTCTCTAAATGACCAAACCACCTCAATAACCCCTCTTCAGCCCTCTGACTAATACTTTTATTAGCTCCACACCTTCTCCTAATTTCCACACTCCAGATTTTCTGCATAATATTTACACCACACATTGCCCTTAGACAGGACATCTCCACCGCCTCCTCACTGCAGCATTTACAACCCAAGCCACTATACTTTCATACATTCCCTTCTTTGCCTCCATAGATTGTTTTTTGTCTCCACATACACCTCAATGCACCACTCGTCTTTTTTCCTTCATCAATTCATTGGTTAACCTCATCCTTCATACATCCATCCGCTGACATGTCAGCTCCCAAATATCTGAAAACATTCACTTCTTCCATACTCCTCTCAAATTTGATATCCAATTTTTCTTTAAAGTCATTTGATACCCTCTTCACCTTACTCTTTTCTATGTTCACTTTCAACTTTCTACCTTTACACACACAACCAAACTCGTCCACTAACCTTTGCAACTTTTGTTTAGAATCTCCCATAAGCACAGTATCATCAGCAGAAAGTACAGTGGAACCTCAAAAATCGAACTGCTCCCAACACGACCAATTATGTAGGTGTATTTTTGTAAGTGCTTTTATAAGTGTATTTTTGAGGGTCTGAAATGGACTAATCTAATTTACATTATTCCTGATGGGAATAAATTCATTTGGTAAAGGCACTCGAACAGCCGTCTGGACCGAAGAAAGTTCGATATTTGAGGTTCCACTGTAACTGTCAATTCCCATTTTGTATTTGATTCCCCATAATTTAATCCCACCCCTCTCCTCAACACCCTAGCATTTACTTCTTTTACAACCCCATCTATAAATATATTAAACAACCATGGTGACATTACACATCCCTGTCTAAGACCCACCTTTACAGCGAAGTAGTCTCCCCCTCTTCTATACACCCTAACCTGAGCTTCACTTTTTTTAACCTTTAAACTGTCCAAACAAATTTACGTTTGCATGTGTAGTACTCCAAAAGTAGATCTACGTTTTTTTACATATTTTCAAATAAAACAAAAAAAAAGTAGATCAAAGTTTTTTTTACACGTTTTCAAATGTAAAAAAAAAAAAAAAAAATCTACATTTTTTGCATACTTTCAAATATTGAAAAAACATAGATCTATGTTTGGACAGTTTAAGGGTTAACAAGTCGGCCGCCTCCCACCGAGGCAGGGTGACCCAAAAAGAAAATACTTTCGTCGTCATTCAACTCTTTCACCTCACTCACACATAATCACTGTTTTTGCAGAGGTGCTCAGAACACAACAGCTTAGAAGCATATAAGTATAAAAATACACAACATATCCCTCCAAACTGTCAATATCCCGAACCCCTCCTTTAGAGTGCAGGCATTGTACTTCCCATTTCCAGGACTCGAGTCCGGCTATATAAAAATAACCGGTTTCCCTGAATCCCTTCACTAAATATTACCCTGCTCACACTCCAACAGATCGTCAGGTTCCAAATACCATTCGTCTCCATTCACTCCTATTGAACACGCTCACGCACGCCTGCTGGAAGTCCAAGCCCCTCACCCACAAAACCTCCCTTACCCCTTCCTTCCAACATTTTCGAGGATGACCCCCTACCCCACCTTCCTCCCCCTACAGATTTAAATGCTCTCCATATCATTCTACTTTGATCCATTCTCTCTAAATGACCAAACCACTTCAACAACCCATCTTCAGCCCTCTGACTAATACTTTTATTAACTCCACACCTTCTCCTAATTTCCACACTCCGAATTTTCTGCATAATATTTACACCACACATTACCCTTTAGACAGGACATCTCCACTGCCTCCTTGCTGCTGCATTCACAACCCAAGCTTCACACCCATATAAGAGTGTTGGTACTACTATACTTTCATACATCCTCTTTTTTGCTCCATAGATAATGTTTTTTTTTTTTTGTCTTCACATACACCTCAACGCACTACTCGCCTTTTTTCCCTCAATTCACCATCCTCATAAAAACTCTTTACAGCATTTAGTAACTTACTACCTATTCCATATACTTGCAACATCTGCCACATTGCTCCCCTATCCACTCTTATATGCCTTTTCTAAATCCTTAAATGCAATGAAAACTTCCCTTCCTTTATCTAAATACTGTTCATACATGCTTCAATGTAAACACTTGATCTGCACATCCCCTACCCATTCTAAATCCTCCTTGCTCATCTGCAATCCTACATTCTGTCTTGCCTCTAATTCTTTCAATAATAACCCTACCATACATTTTTCCTGGTATACTTGGTAAACTTTTTTTATTTATATTTAAAAAATCTTAGTGAGTGCTGTTTAGGAATATTACAGTGGGTAAGGATATTTTTGTAAACTAAATTTACATGAAAATCATTTGAAGTAGAACACTGCAACAATCATGAATTAATGTCTTAGTGTGGTATATCTGCATTTAAAGAATACATTGCATATAATACGATGACACTAGAAATGGCCAGCATATCATAGGTATTACATATTACCCCATATAAGTTACCATTAACTCATAATAAATAAGTTACCATTTACTGTGTGTCTGTGATTAAGTAAATAAATTGCTTAAATGTACAAATATATGTAGATTGCCACAAAATGTACCTTTAAAATCCCTTTGATAGGTAATGTAATTGCCTTTATTTTTCAGCTTGTTTCCAAGTTGTACAATGTTGTGCCCCCAATTCTTACTGAACTTGGCAAGGTAAAGAACCCTTGGCCAAATGTGGATGCTCATTCTGGAGTGCTGCTACAGTATTATGGAATGACAGAGATGAATTACTACACAGTGCTTTTCGGAGTCTCTCGAGCCTTGGGAGTATTGTCTTCACTGGTGTGGGATCGTGCACTTGGCCTCCCTATCGAAAGACCAAAGTCTATGAGCACAGAAGGATTGAAGAAATTAGTTGATGCCGCAGCTGCTCCGGGAGCTTAGTGTACTGTATACACTTGTCAGGACTTTCATTTTTACTTGCGTGCACTCTACATCTTTTTATAAAATTATTTCATGTGAATGAATTAGTTTTAGTAGAGCAGTGCAAAATCTGAAGATTCTGACTGAAGGCATTGGGTTAGTAAAGATGAACAAATGTACAGACATCTTGCACCATTTAAAACATAACTAGTAAAATTTATCAAACTTTCATGTATTTTGCCCACTTTTCCCAAAGTTTTTCAAAATTCACTTATAAATAAAATCTTTTCATGAACAGTGTAAAAAAAAAAAACATTTTGGGAAAAGGCTTTATTTTTTTTTTTTTTTTTTTCTCCAAAGAAGTGTTCTGTAAGAGGAAGGGAAAATGCTACTTAAAACTGACGTGCATAAGTAAAGTGTATTTAAAGGGTATTTTTACTAACGTGTAAATTTAGGAACAAACAGGTGACACAGCTTGTGAGCAAATGTCTTATTTAATTTTATTTATTATTTATTTTAGTTGATGTTTTGACACGAATTGTTTAGTTTCATATTTTGAATTCCAAGGTACATCAGTTCGTTTCACAATTCATATATATATATATTTTTTTTTTTTTTTTTTTTTTTTGTGTGTGTGGCATCTGCTGCATCTTGTACCCAGTCTAAGGCTTCATACTGGGTGTTGGTCTGTAAATAGCTTACCTGTTATTAACAGAAACCAAACCTGATAAATAGACTTAAACAGCTTGTGCTCGATATGAAGCATTATGCAGGTTTTGTGCAGTAAGTTGTCACTGACTTTTTTTTTTTTTTGTTTGGGGAGGGGACTGCATCTTTGTGTTAATATTAGATGTAAATACTGTACATGTATATTATGGTAGGTGTGACAGAACTACCTGGTAATGTAAGGAGTACAAAAAATAAAAATGTTTTAGCAAACCTAAGTTTGTTTTAAATACCTGAAACTGTATGGAAAGTAAATGTACAGTAATCGAGTATCTTCAGAACTGGCATGCCTATTGTGGTTCATATTTCTTCCTCAAAGGCTTCAGTGTGATACTGAAACTTCTCTTAGTCAGCCTTGAATATTCAATACTTATGCTGATGGGCTGTGTAGGTGTGAATTATAAAGGAAAGGGTGGGGCTGTATGACCCCTTTTGAGTTTGGCATTTAACTTTTAACATATTAAGATGGGGGGGGGGAGATTAAACTCTCATACCTCCCCAAACTTTCTATCTTTTCTCCCTTCAAAGGAGGTTCCTTGATGCTGGTGAAGGCTTTTGAATTAAGCCTGAATGCCTTCCATACCCAAAGTCTCTCTGACCTCAGTGGGTCGAGTGATCTCCCTATGAATAATTATGCCAAACTCGGCGCTGTCCAGCCCTTGTGGCTTAGCGCTTCTTTTTGATTATAATAATAATATGCCAAACTCAATGATCTAAAAGTTTACTCCAAAGGACCCTTCAGGAAGGTTCTTTACATCAGTGAGGGGCTCTTGATCAAAGAAATTGAACCTTCCCTCCCCCAACACCTTCACACCCGTTGGCAACAAGGTTGGTCCACTCTACGCGGTAACAAACTTCAGTCTATTAAACCAAGTATAGGTTACTGGCCGTCGTCTTGTCACCAGTGCCGAGGTTGGGAGACTACTCTCTCCCGTCTCCGCATTGGCCATACTCGTCTTACTCGTGGATATATCATGGAGAGGCGCCCTGCTCCTCTGAGAATTGTTAGGTTCCATTATTGGTCAGCCACATTCTGTTAGACTGCCCACTTGATCAACGAGCGCGCAGAATTTACCTCCAACGTTGTCTTCGCTCCGCTGCTCTCTCTTTACCTTCCCTTCTCGCTGATGGACCCACCTTTCATCCGGACACACTCATTGACTTTTTGACAACAACAGACTTCACAAACTCTTCATAAACTCTAATGATACCTTCAGCCCTTTCTACCTCGCTCTCTTGCTACCCTCTACCCTGCACTATCCCCTGCCCAGCTGCTTTCTGTAACCTACTGATCGCCCCTCCCCCCTTCTGTCACCCAATACCCTCACTTCCTTTCCTACCCTGCAGCGCTGTATAGCCTTTGTGGCTTAGCGCTTCTTTTTGATTATAATAATAATTCCCTCCCCCAAGTTGTACCGAACCTGACCTCTTCAAGGGGGGGGGGCTCCTTGGCACTACAAAGAGGCTCTTGGTCTGAGGAATTGGACCTTTTGGTCTCCTTCCTCAGACCAAACCTAATTACCGCCCAGTACCCCCTTCCTTGCTCCATCCTCCTTTTTCCCTTTCCTCCCCCCCTCCCAACCCTCCCTTTTCCCCATCCCATTTGTAGCCTCTGGGGTCCTCCCTTCTGGCATTACAATTTCCAGGTATGGGGAAGTGTGCCAGGGTTTACCCCGCTCCGTGGGGTTCCTTAGGAGTGGTGTAGTTTGCAGTGGAATCTGGATCATCTGGAGGTGCCCTGTTTAGCGCTTCTTTTTGATAATAATAATAATGGAGGCTCCCTTCCTGGATTTCCAGGAGGTAGGGTGGGGTATACTGCAGGTGATGAGTGCATCTCCAGAGACTGCCTGTCGGTTCTGGGAGGTGGCAGCCGAAGGAGGTATGCTTTGTGGTGGGTATCCAACCACCCTCTCTTGTACGCCAAGGTGGGTCGGTGGATGTGAGGTTAATATCCCGGAGCGCTGGTTTACTGGCATGAAGGGTAGGGTATGGCACAGTTTCCACGCTGCATCTGCACTGCTGGCAGTGTCGAGGTCCTCTTGGATGAGGGGAGAAACTTACAGCCCTTTCATGCCTTCTAGTAACTGTCCCTCTTTTTTCCTTTTTTTTCCTTAAAATAATACGAAAAGTACCACCATTGTGGAGCCTTCATCCCGTAATCCCCCCCCTCCTACCAGGCCCCTTTTTGTTACCTCGCCCTGTTCTGATCCGGCTTCGTTATTGGACCATTCTCTAGACTTTTTCCATACCCCTGTACCTCCCGCTGGTGATGCTTTATCACCTGCTCCAGGTGCTGAGGCTCTGCCTGTTTCTTCAGTGCCTCTTCCCCTTGCACATCTTTAACGTGTGTACCCAGCTTCCCCAAATACGGTGCGACAGTTTTCGGATTGCCCACCTGCCTCAGGTTGGGCCGCTCAGTCCTACTCCTAAATGTTCCAGACCATTTGCTGACGATGGTCCTTTGATTTCTACTCATTCCATCCAGAAACAACCTGCATGACACCCACTTTCTTTATGCACCATGCTTACAAGTACACAATGGACCACATTCTTTTCCTTGCAACCAATGTCTCCAACTGATTATCTTTTAGACCACAGTATCAGTAAAGCTCTTTTACAACACGTTGGCCAAACTATAGGGCTGTATAGTCCTTGTGGCTTAGCGCTTCTTTTTGATTATAATAATAATAATGGCCAAACTATATCCTTTCACGTTCTTCAGAGCGATGTGCGCATTGTTACTGTTCAGAACTCGGGGCCAAGCTCATGATCTTTCCCATCTTACTACCATTGATAACGTTCCTATCACAGTTCACAAGCATGCTACTCTCAATTCTTGCAGTGGTACAGTGGTCTTACTGTGTACCATTGTACAGTGTGATTTTCTGTCTTGCAGTGGTAATATTTTAGAGCAATTAGCCCTTCAGGACCTTTCGATTCTCAAAGTGGATGCATATGTCCTGCTTGCTAGTGGGCGGAGGTGCTTTCCCAGTAACATCGCCCGTTTAACCTTTGCCTGTTGTGAACTCCTATCCTCCATTTACATTGCAGGACATCCAGCTAAATACTGCAGGTCTGTGGTAAAGTGCCCGGTCTGCGGTGCCGTGGATTATGTCAATGCATCGTGCAGTCTTCCCTCCACTTGTCTTAATTGCAATGAAGCTCTCCCTTTTTCCCGTCAGTGTCAGGTCTTTCTTAATGAACATGAAATCCATTGTCTTAAGGTGAGCAAAGGCCTTATGCTATGGCTGTCTCTCAGCTCCACCTTAAGGGGAATCTTCCCTATGTTCCTTGTTCTCAAATAGCTAGGAGACCTCCAACCTTGGTGGTCCCCCTGCCTACCAGCTCCTCCAGTGTCGTGTCTTCTTGGGTCACCCTCGTCTCTAATTCTTTTGCGGTTTTACCCTCTGAAACCCTCTTCCTACCTCTACTTCTTTATCTTCTCACCTGCTTGTCTCTCAATCTGTGAGGCCTCGCATGCATGCATCTTCATGCCTATCACCTGCAAAGTTGAACCTGTCTCCTAAGCCCAAGTCTCTTCACATTCCTCCGGTGCTTACAATTCCCCAACAGTTTAACTTTTTGGCCTCAGTGCCTAGTTCTCACCCACCTTCTCTCACTTGAAGGTGAAGGTTCACCCCCCTCGTGTGGTCCCCTCTTTTCCTGTTCTTCCCCAGTCCCCTTCCAGCCTCCTTCCTCTCCTGTTCCACCACAGGACTCTTCTGTCCCTGTGGGCACATCTCTCCAGGTTCATACTCTCCTCCCCTCTCAGAACTCTTTGGTTCCCTCCATAGTCACCCCGATCTCTACTTGCTCTACCTCACCCGTCTCTGAAGTCATGTTATCGGCGTCTTCCTTGTCTGCTGAGATACTTGGTGCTATCTCAAACTATACTGCAGAGACGAAACCCTCGATGGACACCGGTATGCCTCCTTCTGCTCATTATTATTTTTCACAACCCTCACAGCAATCTTTTCCTTCACAGCATTCCGATTCCTCCTTGCTTACATGTTTTCCGTTGCCTCCACATGTTGACTTCACTGACCCTACTAGCCTGTAGATTATATTGCTTCTCATTGTTGGCATACCTATCTTTGTGAATAATGACTTATTTACACTGGAATATTCGTGGCCTCAGGGGTAATCAGGGAGAGCTTAGGTGTCGCTCTCCCAGTTTTCCCCAGTATGTGTTGGTTACAAGAGCCTAAAGTTCATTAAGCTGTTATCCATCCTGTTTCAGGCTATGCTGTTGCATTCGTCTGACCCCTTTCCTGATGAAACTTAATGAGAGTGAGCTTCTTGTGCATATTAGTATACCGTTTCAACAGGTCTTTGTTCACTCTCTACTACATTATACTGCAGCCTGTATTTATTTGCAAAGGTGGTATACAGTTTGCTCTCTATATCTCTCCCCTTCCCATGCATTCTGTATCTCAAATGCTGCATTCTTGATCTCTTCTCTGCCCCTCCCATCTTGTTGTTAGGTGATTTTAATGCTCATCATCATCTTTGGGGAGGGTCCCATTGTGACTCTTGTGATCAGTTGGAGACTCTTCTAACTTCTCATCCACTTCATGTTTTAAATACGGGTGCTCCCACCCATTTTGACTCACACTCAGTCTCTCTCTTGCATTGCTCTTTCTATCTACTCCTCGTCAATTGCACTTGATTACACTTGGTCTGTTTTCCCAGATTTGCACGACAGTGATCAATTTCCTATTATTCTTACTTCTACTACGTATTCCCGACTGCCTCATAGCCCCTGTTGGCAACTTAGATGAGCAAATTGGGACTTATACTCTCATCTTACCACTTTTTGTGGGGACCCTTCTTCATCCTCTATTGATGAGCTGCTGCACCAGTTTTTGACCTTAATTTTGACTGCAGTGTCACGTTCTATTCCTCAAACCTCAGGCAGCCATTCTCAGACATACATGCCTTGGTAGTCTCCTGCATATTTGAACCATGCTGTGTGGGGGTTGTTATCGATATAATCGGACTGCAGATCGTCTTTTGGATTTTGAGTGGGCAAGGGCAGTCGCTCGCCACATCATGTACGATGCCAAGTGCACTTGTTGGCAAGACTACATTTCTACCATTACCTCGACTTCCCCTATGCATGTGGCTTGGAAGAAGGTACGGAAGTTGTGTGGCAAGTACACTTCAGACCCAGCTCCCATTTTGCAGGTTGCCAATGTTAATGTTGCAAAGCC